CTTCCTTTCCTTTTTAGTTCCTCCATCCCAGTTCATTTCTGTGACTTTCATTCAGCAAAAAACCATTACAAAGAAATAATTCAGTTATGATTTAACCATTTTGTATCATTTGCCGGTCACAGTATCTGCCTTTACACAAGGACAACTCTTTCTTCCCCACTATTAACTTAAACACAATACTCTGACATTTTTTAATTAAGGGCAAATGTGTATGTTTTCATATCAAAAAGTGCAAACATGAATTTTTAGATGTTGACCTGTTACCAGACACAGAAATGTAGCTTGAATAGCACAGAATTATTATTAGCACGTTTATTCGCACAACTCCAGCAAGAAACCCAGCAACCTCCTTCAACCCCACCTGCTGTTGCTCCGCCATCTGCGGGAAGCACGGCCCTGGCAACCAACACAACGATCCAGAGGGTAAGACAGAGCTGCTTTGGGAATCCAAATTTTTGAATGAGTGCAATCATAGCAAAGAAGGTGAATATTTGCTCTCCCCCACCACCATTCGTTGTTGAAAGGGTTATTAAAGACATAACAAATGTGCATCAAATGGGTTTTAAGTCTACTGTTTTTCTCTCTCTGCACGTCAGCTCATGTGCGTTCCCAAGGAGTGATAAAACAGTTTCAACAGCAACATCAAGTAAACAAGGCTGGGGAGAAGCAGGACAAAAGCTTGGTAACTATCAGCAACAGCAAACGTCTTCATTAGCACATCAGAGTTGTTCTTCATATTTGCGTGGGGTTGCATGGCCTCATATTCTTGCTCACAAACACGAGAGTGGTGAGACAAGTTTTATTTCAGATAAGACCAGCATTGTTTGATCTCCAGGAGCAGGGGGACTCCGAAATTCCTAGCAACAGCCGCAAATCTGCAGCAGAAGCAGCAGCAAGAATGTTAAGGCCAGCTTTCAGAGTAACCATGGTCAGCTCACATCTCAGATGGAGTATTTCTGGCCTTCACTTTTTGCAGGAAAACCAAAAACAAGTATCTCCTGGGGCCACTACCATATGTCAGGCAAATCAGTAAAGCAGCCTAATCCAGCAGCGTGTTTTTCTTGTTTTACTGAAGGTAAGCTGAAAGGTTTATAACCCACTGCTGGAAACACACAACACCAGCTGTTCTTCAGGTCTGCTTTAGGATAACTCACCTTGCATCTCCAAAGGGCTCTGCTTCTATTGCCCTTTAGGAACCCAATGTATAGGAGGAGCTTTCTATACATACAGAGAACTTCTCTGCTTTTCATTCCCCTCCTCTCCAATTCAAATGTTCTTCTCCATTTTTTCGTTTCAGTTTTTAATTTCCCCCACTCCTGGAGAGCATAATTAGATTGCACTAATTACCGAAGCCTGGCTGGGTGGGGGTGTTGCATCACTGGCCCCCTGGCTGGGGTGAGGAATGAGTTTCTTGGCAGGCCACCTGCAATGGTATCAGCAGGTGGTTGTTGGGATCAGTTGTCGAGTCTGCCTTTGGAAACCTGCCCTGCAGTTTCACTGTCAGAGAAAACACATTCTTCTCCTTCACCACTTTTCTGCCCTTAAGTTAACAGAGATACACCACCACGTGCCAGCAGAGGATCCTGCCCGCCTTTCAAAGCAGTAATGGGAGCAAGCGATTAAAGCACCGGGGGATCAACTTTCCCAGGATTTAGTCTCAATTGCTATTATTTCACTACATCACCTGTGTACACTTCAGCATCTTTTTCCACAGCTATATCTAGAACATCACCTGTCTGCCTCACAGGAGCCATGGGCTGCCTCGCTAAATAGCTACACGGCAACCAACACTTCTGGCAGGGAAGCAGGGAGCGGAAACGCTTGGTTACGTTGGTGGAATGGTGGTTCAAGCAGCCGAGCGCAGACTGACAGGATCACTTTTGTTTAGCAAACAGTTAAGCTCATTCACCAGAGATCAAGCAGACCTACATTGTAATTTGGCACAAGCTTTAGAAGCAAGCTGGAATGATGGATGAGCCATCACCCACACGTGCCTCAGACAGAGCCAGTACGGGGCAATGCCGCTCTCGCTCTCCTACCTCCCGGGTGGTGATGGCAACAGTCCCTGTCCTTACTGACTCAATTTCCTTATTCATTTCCTTATTGATCTGCTCTCTGCACACTAGGCAGATATTATATTTTGATCTCCCATTACTTCTGATGGTGCTGCTGCTAGACCATGAAGCCTCTCGAGTAGCTCGAGTTTTCTGTAATCTGGGGAGTGTGGATCCACCCGGACTCACCTGGAGGGCAGACATGCAGTGAGGGGTACCTGGGGGAAAGCAAGGCAAGCTGCTTGTGTTAGCACTTGAGCTGCTGGTCTGCCTGCTCCCTGATGAGGAAATTCACAGAGTGAGTGGTACTTCAGCTTCCCAGCTGTTCTTCCATTTTCAGGTCAGGCCAGGGGCCAGAATTACCCTGAACCACATCAAAATTTGGTCAAGATTTTACATCTACTACTTCCTTCTCTGTAATTGGTCTACAATCAGAGCAGTGATTGCAAAGCTGGAGTCTGTGAGGATGGGTAAATAGTTTGGATGTGAAATCTGTTCTTATCTGCAATACCCATCTAGAGTCTTGCACTACCTCCACCATCATGTTGCCTGTCCCACAGCCATCACCTTCTCCACTGTTTCAACACAGCCATCGTGTGTAGGCACCTAGCAGAGACTGCAAGGCCTACACACAGCCCCCAGGCATTTCAGAAGGGGTAGGTCTGAGAGGAAAATACAGAATGTCATTCTCAGCAGGAGAACACACTACACTTTTTACTTCCACTGGTTCACTGCTTATTACGCAGGCCTGAAATGCCCTGTGACAAGGGTGG